AAATATTAAATTTAGGAGTCAGAGAATTCTATACATGATTTTATTCCATTCTAATCTGGCCACCTCATAGCACTGTCAAATGTTTTCCCTGTAAAATGAGTGTATCAATTTCTATTCCTCATAGCAAAGTTGTAAGGACAGATTAATTATTGCCTGCAYCCTTCCAATTTACATTGCCTTTTTAAAATGAGAAACATATTTTCAAAATCCCTCTTTTTTTTTTTTTTTTTAATTATGGATTGATTCCAGTCTTTTTCTCATGTCAAATTTTCCTCTGTGGTAAACACCTCTACAGTTTTGCAGCAAGAATTAATGCCTTCTCATCCTGCGGGTCTTAGCAGACAGGCAAATTTTAAACTAGAAAGTAATGAGTGATTGAATGAAAGATGCCATTTATTCTTTTCTTTAGCATATTCATTCAGCATCTACCTGTCCAACAACTGTAATTATTCAGGTGGATGTGAAATTTTCTGGGACAAATAATTGACATTTAAATATTTCAAACTCTCATCACTAACTCTTCCTGAGCCTAATTAACATCAAGACAGTAATAATGAACGTTGGCTTTTTGCTCTAAAATACTATTTGAGAGAAATGCCTTCCTCATTTACAAAATGGTGTTGCTAAATATTGTCACTTTATAAGTGGTTGGAAAATTGTGGGGTTTTTTTTCCTGAAGCAAGAGCAATCACAGCATGTTTATTTTACCAGGGAAGACTAAAAAGAAGTATGATTGAAGCTCTCTGCTTTGCAATAATTTAGTAAAATTTAGAAACGTGTAACAGTAGAAAAGTAAATGGAGCAATCACTATGGCAAACTATGTGACCAGGAGTAGAATTCTAAACTACACTAAACCAAAGGCCTGCAATGGCTAAAGAGCAACCACTGTATAAATGCAGTTCATTTTCAAGTGATACGCAATCACTTTTATGCAACAAGATCTGGTAACATGACCCTTATCTAAATCAGTAGAGCAGATCCCTTTCAGCATCAGAGCACTGTGTCCTGGCGCAGAGAGCTGTGCCTGGACTTGTACTCTCCAGTTTCTGGAGGGGCAGAGACTGTAGGAGACATAGTTCAAAAGTGAAGGTCAAGGGTGTCTGTTTTCACTCTTCGTCTTTTACTGATGTGCACACAGGAGCAACGACAGCGTGGATACTGAGGACCTCTGAAAAAGCTGGCGCATGCATATTATGGTGTGATGTGTTGCGTCCTTTGAAAGGACAGGAGATTTTCTGGATTAGGCATCATATATTTTTAATGTATCCAGTTCATCAGTGCTCAGATCTCAACTATGACTCTATGGAAACCTAGGAGAAAAATAGGTGAAATGGGTCATGTTTCCAACATGAATACACATAGCAGAATTTTGCTTCTATTCACCAGAACATCAAGATGTTACCTCATCAGTTCCAAGTAGAATTTACTATTACTTCAATGGCTTTTTTAAGTTTTGATTACTCCTGGCTTGCCTCTGAAGCCTTCCAATACCTTGACGRCTTAACAGTCCATCACATAAAAGCTCCTGTGCACTACATTGCAGCATGAATATTTTAAAGTGCTGACTGACTATGTAAGTGCACAGATTAAAGACCTAACAAAAGGATATTTTCTTTAGTCAGCAAAGCTTCTTGGCTTCTATTCAGTTATGTTAACTAAGACAGCACATATACTTTATTATCTGTACTTTATCTCTTTCTCTTTCTAGGATTTATATGAATTTTTGATTTTTATATGAACTTAAACTACAAATATATTACCAAAAGTATTTTACTAGAATAATATATGGTCAGGATATACTTGTATGAAGCTATAACTGAGCCAAGGGGATCCTGAGTCTTCTCTAAAAAGTAGTAAACATATGTATATATTAAAAAAAAGAAAAGAAAAAGCTGTCTCTCACAGGAACATTTCTATAATAACTTTCAAAAAATAAGCATGGAGATTTCAATTGAGAGAGAGCTTGCTTGCAAAATCTTACCATGGCACAGTGTAAATTCAGGAAGATTTAAATAAATATGCTTTTTAGGAGCTGTTTTGAATTACCACCACCAGTTTGAATGGCAGCTACAATGTATCAGCCAAAATAAAAACAGTGGGTAGAATAAAAGTGGTGCAAACAGGTTGGCATCTGCCAACTTGTGGATTCTGCAGTTTGCTAACTGTTTGACTATTTTGGTAGAACATGGCACACAGCCAATGCAAACTTCTCTTTTCATTTTTCTTTTTAAAGAAATGCAATGCAGAGCATAATAGATTAAGAGATACAGAATCTAGATCTCTGTCAAAAAATGAAGAGTCTCTAAAATTACTGAAAGACACAGATTGTCATGTTCCTTTACAGGACCTTTGAATATTGACAGAATACACCTTTCAAAGATATTGCCTTTTATACTATATGCTTAATATTGATGCAACATTAAGACTGGAGAATTAGGAACTTCAGAAATCCTTTTATACCTTCCATGAACCTTCCTGATTAACCTGCTCACAAGCCCTTGTATTCTTAATTAAAGCCACTCTGAGTTCTCAGATCATTACAGGGGGAGATCCACATTGCTTCAGCAGGTTAAACAATTTCATTTAAAAGCAGTAATAAATCTGAACATAAACAGGTTTTAAATCAACACAGCTAAACTAGAGCCAGCTGATTATTTCCTCACTTTGTGCATGCTGCCCATGCCACACAGTTGCCTGACAAAAAATAAAGTGAATCATTGAACTGTAATCCCATCTCTGCATTGGCAGCACAACAACAAAAGTACAACCCAAGTTTGCTTTGGACCCTCTGCCTAAAGCTGAGTTGAGCTTCATTGCCTCCAGAAAATAAATACCACTGTAGAAATTAAAAGGCAAGAGTTACATAGTGTACTTTCTCAAATTTGGAGAAGGAACGTGTGATTTCTTAAGCTGAATAGAGATAATATGTTTATCTTTATATTGGAATATAGTTCCATTTCTTACATTCTATTTATAATAGAATATATTTTGATTTCTTAAATTTACTAGAAATAATCTATTTATCTACAGAATATGCTTCCAGCAGTAATGGGCTTGAATCTTTTTTTTATTTTTGGCCTGTTATTTAACTTAGCTGAAAAGTAAATAGAGTAGGACCACTGTACAGTGTCACCTCCTTTTCTGTACAGGAGGAAATACAAAAAAA